GACAGCAACAAGTCTGATACAACTGACGGAGGTGAGTAACACTTTGGTTTATTTATATTTAGAGTATGATTTATGCTGTGTTTCTTTGCTCTTGTTACATTTTTTGTCACTGCAGATTCATTTTGCACTGAATATGAAAGCACCTCTATGAAAACGGTTGTCTTTTGTGCAAGATAACACAAGCATAATAATGTACAAACACAAGTTGAGTGCATTTTTTTAATTCACAACACTTGAAATAAAATTGAATCCACACATATAGTTTTTTTTGAGTGCCTCCAGGTGTTATCAAAACAGAGAAAACCTATTGTCTCTCCATACTTTAGGTATTTTACTACCAATATTTGTTTCAATATTTGTCCAGTTCAGCCGAAAAGTCTGAATTTTTGTCACGACTGTTAGTCGTAGTTGAGTTATTAATAGTTTCTCGGTTGTGCCAAGGATCAGTCTGGAGGAAACTGTTCATTTTTGGCAAAACTGTAAATGAGACATGTAGAATAAAGTGATTTTGATAAAAAATAGATTTGGGTATTTTAGCCAGACAGAATAACCTGTCAGAAAAAGAAACTTCACAGATTATTAGAAAGTTAAAATTCCAAACATTCTTTCTATTTCTACTCATCAGTGGTTTTCAGAACAAATTAATGTTAATGATTCCTAAAATGGCGATAGTATGTCTGGCTTCAGGAGCACATACAGTCTTCACTATATTGTGTGCTTTTATTAATTCATTACTCAGAGTGTCGCCGTGTATCAAACATTGCAGTGTCATTTCCACATTTTAACACAATCATCCCCAAGCAGAGTATAAAACCTTTGACTTTTCTCTGTTTCAATGAGCACCAAGAGTTAGACGGGAGACACATGAATTGTTAAGATCTGCTCATGTGAACAAAATGAATGCGTTATCTCTGATTAAGTGCAAACAGGAGCCGCCATAGTGGAGGCAATAGATCAACAGTCCCTCAGGTTGCTTTGTTCGCAGTCAAGCATTCACTTCCTAGACACACTGGTGACGCTGGGAGACTATGGAGACAGCTATTGTAAATATAGAGCGCCCTGAGAGAGAGAGTGGGTGGACACGTCTTACTTAAAGTACTGTCTGAAAGCAGGGCTTAACAGCGGAGTCAATAAAACAGAGTACTACCAACATTAATCTGGGAGTTATTAGCATCTTGAAAGATCTACTAAGTACACAGATGCTGCGTTTTATATAATGCAGCATCCATAAGGTCCAGAGTATTATAAATGGCTTGAATTCAAGAAAATAGAAGATTTTAAAGACTGAATCCATACA